ACACACACACACACACACTTTGCACAAATGCAGTACGAACATACGGAATACAAAAGAAAACGTGCGGATGCAACAGCTTATTCCTTGCTTTCATAAGAGATCCACCAATTCCTTAACAGAGCTTTGCTTTGTAAAGCAAGGATGCTGCAGTATCCCCAAGATACTCCCAGTATTTTTAGAACTGGGACAGTGGCAGTGGTGAAGCAAATGCACTAGCATCAAAGCCAGGCTCATTATCGAGGAGTCACGGCAAGACTCCTCGATAATGAGCCTGCTCAGGAAGAGGAGCACTTGTTGCACAAAGTGTGTTGCCGCTGTTACGATACACCTTTTCACATATCTAAAGTTCGTAATAAACTTGGTGGAAAGTGGACCAGTAACAAATTAACATTTCCAGTTCATTACTCAAACTGACCAACTGCCCGTTCGCCTTTCGCGCACTGATTTCACCATCATCAGGTGATGCAATTTGCTCCTTTTGAGAGTTCGTTTCAGTGGCCATGATGATACAGTGTTTGATGAGAAGAAACCTTCAATTGTTGCTGTATGTCACGTGAATTTTTTCAATACCAATTCACTTGAAAGCAGCGACGCATTCTGAAATTAAATGCAAAACTTGTCGTAGCATTCGAGCTCAATCAGATGCTACAGTTGATTTAAAGCAAGTAAGTTCTGAAGACGAGACATATTACCAAAGCCAGTTTCACGACCAACAAGGTAAATTCAACATCTTATGTGAAGACAAGATGTTACCACGGTTTCCCGTGCACACATCCATAGCTGTCCTAGCCCAGCCTCAGTCTTCGGAACCACGTCAACTCTTGCCACTAACTCTCAAAAGGCGTTCTATTGAGCTCTTCGGTGTGTGAATGGACCATTCTCCATAAACTGCAAGAAGTGTGTCTATCAGAAATATCGATAACACAAGCAAGTTTTACAATTTTCTAAAGCTGCTAACTTAACTTGATTCAAGCAAAACATTCCAAACCAGGTGATTCAGTCAACCGAGACGGAACAGGATGCATCCAAACTGGCCGTTCACTCCTCACCGGGAAACTATCAATCTAACCAACCAGTACCACCAAGACGTTTCCAATGTAAACAAAAGAACTAACTAGGTCCGACCAAAATACTCATCTAGTTCAACCAAAGCTATTTCAAACAACGATTCGACCAGATCGGCCATTTATTTCGATCAGGATACTTCGAGTCAAGCGTTCCAGTTCGACCAATATACTTTCAAGCCAAACTGTGCAAGCCCAAACGGGATGACCCTTCCTTACCCCCACCCCTCCCCTCAGCTGTCTTAACCTACCGAAACGCCACTTAACCGATCAAAAATTGCCTCAATTGTTATTTTTAAATGTGAGCCTAGGAAAGAAATAAAAAAAAAGGATGATAGACAGGGGAAGTGGAATTAAAAATTCGGATTTGGAGTGGCAGTTCACCACAAACCATTTAGGCACAGGAAATAATTAGAGGCGTGCACCGGGTAGCCAGTACGATTACGCTTTTCGCACAGTTCAGCTCAGTCGCGTCAAACAGAAAATTATCCTCCGTAGTTTAGCGTGCGGTAAGTAAGACAAAAGCACACGTAGAAGCTGAATTTAAAATTTCGATGCTGCACGAAAAATCCTTGTAAAGTTTCAGCTTTTATTTTGCCTGGCTTCCGCATTTGAAAACTTTCCTCCAAAAGTTTTCGGTCCCCACGGGTTATACTGGATCAAATTTCTTGGGTTGCAAAATTACATAAAGCACCCTTCTATTTCCGAATAAGAATATACAGCTTTATAGCTTTTCTAGCCATCGAACTGAGAAATCTGGAAAAAAAGTTCAAGTGCGTACACACACCCACTTACGCTAACAAACCAACAAACAAATAGCGTTTCGATAATATAAGTTCCGCATCGCCATTACAAAGTAAAATGCATGAAACGGAATCAAATTAATTACGATCTCCCCGCGGCAGCAGCAGCAAGGACTTTTAAAGCTCTCTCTGAAGAATCAAACAAGCTACGTGGCACTTGCCAACTGCGTACGTAATCGGCCTGACAGCAGGGTATGCAGATTTTTTACAGTGTATGAGAACTGATTTCATGCTGATTT